TGTTACAATCCATTTAATAAAATGCAACATTTCTTTGTTTTAATGAAAAAAATCAGTTATTTTCATGAGAACGTTAGTTATTCCATCTCAATTTTTTTAATCTCCAATCGCAATAACGTAAAGTATTATTAGCCGCGAACCAATGAGTCAAATTTAAGAAACAACCCACTGTTAGAAAGCGGAATGGCTACGCTTTAAAATGAATGTAAACTTTAACGTTTTCGTCTATTATTTGTTTAGCAATTTACATTTCAGTCGAGGATTGCGCTTTTTTTGATACACCCTGTATATATATATATATATATATATATATAAACAAGTTATTTTTCGTTGAAAGACTAAAAAGAGTGCTCAATACTATAAATAGTACAGTAGAGCTATGTAATTAACGTTATAAATATCTTAAAATAACAATGTTTTTTCGCTACTCTGAGTTTCACGATCTTGTCTGATCGATCTTCAGGCGATTTCACATTATATATATATATATATATATATATATATATATATATATATATATATATATATATATATATATATATATATATATATATATATATATATACGTAAATTTAGGAGTTCAGTCAAAACCATTATTCAATTCACGTGTAATAAGTTGGCCATTGTAAATATCATATCCATACAGATTTATCGCTTGACATTGCAGGGTCGCCAGTGACTATATACGTCGCATATAAGATCAGTAATCAAACAAGCGGAAAAGTTTATTGGGCTTTTTAATATTATATATAGATAAAGTGCCATGTCGACCAAACCCATGTGGAAGAAATCAAAAGTGCACACCAATCGTAGGAACAGGAAAATCTAATTGCACTTGTCAAAAAAAATTTATTGAGAAAAATGGAACTTGCGAACCAGTACCTCCAGGTAACATTGCATATCGCATTAATAGCATTGATCTATAAAGAATTTTATATTTCAATTTACTGTAAAATTATAAAAGTGGCTAAGTCTGACAATGATGCAGTTTCGCTATTGGATTTCAATTTGTGACAAAATTTCTAATACAAAAATTCCGCCCGGGATAGGGAAATATATTGCATGTCCTTTCACGGAAAACACATGTGTGTCTGTGCATGATGATGGATTTTATAATATGGTGGCAATAAATGCATAGGTATGTGCTTGCTATAGCCTCCTCCCTCGGTAAGTTGCTGGCAAACGGCAGAACTACAGTACGTAATATTTATAGAGGATGAGAAGAAACCTTTCCCTTGGTAAAACTTTGCTTATCCAACCATAACAAAGTCAGCTGTATTTTACCCAACCTCAAATATCTATTATAAACAACCCACCCCTGCATGGCCATAAACTTTACAAAAGGATACCATTTGATTCAGTCGTCACATATGTCATTTACCACTTCTGCGACACTGATAACTACTTGTGCAATTTTCCGCAGTGCAAAGACAGTAATTTTTTATGTTGTCTCCAGATGTACTTTCTTTGGACACACCATTTGCCTCCAGACAAATTGGAAAATGACCGAGATAGTGACATTGATTGATTTATATGTTGTATTGACATATGACATCATATTGACATTGCCTTTTAGTATTTGGTATTTGAGTGAGTCATGCTTTCGAAATGATATTATTATCATTATTTTTTTATTACCAATTCCATGGGTTTTATTACCAATTTTCATTTACCCGACCTTTTACTCGCTCAAATTAATTGCTGTTTACCCAAAGCTTTTCTATTCGGTGGCATCCCCCGCATATATTATGACTGGTCCCTTAAATCAATACCATTATTTAACTGTTCGCCTGTAATGAGCTCGCCATTGTAAATGTACCCGCCGGTGAATATATATAGTCACATATATGCGATCAGCAATCTACCAGTAGAAAAAATGCAAAACTTTAATGGGTTTATTGACGTTATATATACGATCGATAAAGACCCATGTCGAACAAATCCATCAGGAGGAAATCATAAGGGCACGTTAATCGTAGCAACAGGAAGACGTACAATAATTGTACATGTACAAACAACTTTATCAGGAAAAATGGAATATGCGAACCACTACTAGCAGGTAAAATCAGATATTGTATTAATAGCATAGATCTAAAGATTATTAAAAATCAATTTACTCTACTTACTCAATTTATTCTGCAAAATATGTCAGCGATGCAGATTCGATATTGGATTTAAACTGTGACAAATATTGCACCACTACAAGAAATATATTGTTTTTCTCAGGGAGTGCCAATCATTGGACAGGGAAAATATCCTTTCATGATACATCCTCTCATAATGTCGCTATAATACCAACATCATTTGGCTTGAAAAATAATGAAATCATGCCTGTATTAAACCGTCGGTCGATCACTTAAGCCTCTTAAAAAAAAATGGTTTCCCGCTCAAAAATGTGTAAGCGTATTATTCCAATTTACTAGAAACAACACCTGGTTCGGCAACAAACGATGGCAAGGCAGTTATAATTGCTTCTGTTCTGGTCCCATCACTTATAATTTTAGTGGCAATTTGTATCATTGTTTGGCTGCGCAAACGTCACGAGAGGCGAATGGATTTCATGGAAAGAGAAATGGAAATAGCTTTTGACTTCGGAAGTAGAAGCAATCCTCAACGTCTGTAAGTATTTGTATATATATATATATATATATATATATATATATATATATATATATATATATATATATATATATATATATATATATATATATATATATATACATATATATTAAGATGAAAATATTCTAGAGCGTGGCATGTATTATATAATTTCCATACCCAGCGCAAGCAGAAAGATGTTGTCTGCCGCGGCTGGGTCTCGAACCCGCGACCTTCGAATTACTAGATCGACGCTCTACCTACTGAGCTACACAGTCAGACGGATTTAAGACTGGAAATTAGGAAATATATACTGAATGTCATAAACATACTCGTTTATATTAATTCAGCATCGAACAATACTAGTTCTGCAAGTGTTATGTAGTTGTGTAATTGTACACTTTGTAATATGTTAAGATGAAAATGTTCTAGAGTGTCTGTTATACACACTCTAGAACACTTTCATCTTAACATATTACAGAGTGTACAATTACACAACTAACATTTATATATATATATATATATATATATATATATATATATATATATATATATATATATATATATATATATATATATATATATATATATATATATGTAAATATATATATATATATATATATATATGTAAATATATATATATATGTAAATATATATAAATATGTAAATATATATAAATATGTATATATAAATATATATAAATATGTATATGTATATGTATATGTATATATATATATATATATA